AGCAAAGCTATCATTTAAAATGAAAGGGCAGATAAAGAGTTTCTCAAACAAGGAAAAGCTAAAGGAGTTTTTCACCACCAAACCAGTATTAAAAGAAATGTTACAGGGACTTCTTTAAGAATTAGAAGAAGGAAAAAAGATTAAAAACATGAACAACAAAATGGCAATAACTACATATCTATTGATTACTTTATTATTTACTTGTATTTATTTTAAACCCTAAGGTAAGCTGTTCATTATTTATTTATTTTTAGAGAGAGGAAATACAAGGGAGGAATAGAGGGAGAGAAACATCAGTAGGTTGCCTCTTGTATGTGTCCTTACCAGGGACCAAACCAGGAACCAAGTCTGCAGCTCAAGCTTGTGGCCTGACCGGGAACTGAACAGGCAACCTTTTGCTTTGCAGGAGGACGCCCAACCCACTGAGGCACACCAGTGAGGGCTTTATCGATAATTACTTTAAATGTAAATGTATTAAATGCTCCAATCAAAAGACATAGGGTGGCCCAATGGATAAGAAAACAGGACCTATACATGCGCTGTCTACAAGAAACTCACTTCAAATCAAAAGACACACACAGACTGAAAGGAAAGGGATGGGAAAATATTTCTTGCAAGTGGAAATGGAAAAAAAAAGCTGGGATAACAATGTTTATATCTGATAAAATAGACTTTAAAACAAAGTCTATAACAAGAGACTATAACAAGAGACAAAGAAGGACCCAGCAATTGCACTTCTAGTATTTATCCAAAGAAACTAAAAATACTAATTTGAAAAGACAAATGCATCCATATGTTCACTGCAGCATTATTTGCAATAGCCAAGACATGGAAGCAAACTAAGTGTTCATCAGTAGATGAATGGGTAAAGGAGATGTGGTGTGTGTATATATCTATGTGTGTGTGTGTGTGTGTGTGTGTGTGTGTGTGTGTGTGTATATATGAATCCCTATATATGTGTGTACATATACACACATACATACATAGAATGGAATATTATTACTCAGCTATAAAAAAAGACTGAAGAGCTTTCTGGCAAGATGGCAGCGCAGGCAGACATGGCTCATCTCTTCTCCCAACCACATCAAAATGACAACTAAAATACAGAGCAATCATCACTCAGGAACATCAGAAATCAAGCTGAACAGAAGTCTGACAGCTATGGATTAAAGAAACCACATCCATTCAGACTGGTAGGAGGGGTAAAGATACAGAACGGGCTGGTCCCACACCCATGTGTGGTGGATAAAAATTCAGGAAGGATATTTTGGGAGTGAGGAGTCCTAGCCCCACACCAGGGCCCCCAGCCCAGGGTTCCAGTACCAGGAAGACAAGTCCCCACAACTTCTGGCTGCAAAAACCAGTGGGGATTGAGTCAATGGAAGAAACTGCTAGAGCCCTAAGTAATTCCTCTTAAAGAACACACATTGACTCACACACTCAGACTTACCCTGTGACTTTCAGCAATGGGGTAGCAGCTTGAAGGGCACCAGTGGTATAAAGGGAGAAACTAGAGTGTCTGAAATCATGGTAAGCAGAGGCCATTATCCCTTTGTTAAACTCTCCCACAACAGAGGCAGTAAGCTGGTGCCATATCTGAGATTCCATCAACCTGGCTAACAGTTTGACCTCTCTTGGAGATCCTCAGAGGCTCTGCCCCACCCTACCTATGGGCTCACCCAGGCTGCTTTTCTGTAAGAAGGGCTGGTATTGGCTCCTAAATCCTATCAAACAAACAACAGCTCACTTTAGTGAGTCCTAGCAGCAGCCAGGTTAGAATCCCAGCTTGCCTTTGTCTAGGAACCTCCAAGCTCAGCACAAGTAGCAGCCATCTCAGACTGCTTTCCAGCTCAGGCAGGGCACCCCCAGGGAAAATCACAGGTGGGAGCTGACCTTGGCCTGTATCACCCAGGAAATCCCAGGGCCAGTGCACCCAGTGGATAGCTATAGACCTCATCAGAGCACCACCACCCTGCCCTTGCACAGCTGATCCTCCACAGATAGCGGAGGTTGGTGGTGAGTGGTCACAGCCAGTCCTTGCTGCTGAATGGCCTGAGTAAATCCCTCCTATTGATCTGCCTACAGCAACAAAGACTCAACTACAAGAGGAGGGTGTAATCAGCCCACATGAAGAATGCACCTTGAATACCCAGCTTGGGTGAGAGGTGAGTCTGTGCCACTGAACCCTACAGAACACCTACTACATGAGGCCATGCTACCAAGACATGGAGTCAAAGCAGTTCTACCTAATATACAGAAACAGACATGGGGAGCTGCCAAAAGGAGCAGACAAAGAAACATGGCCCAAATGAAAGAACAGATCAAAACTCCAGAAAAAGAGCTAAATGAAATGGAGCTAAACAATCTGTCAGATGCAGAGTTCAAAACACTGGCTATAAGGATGCTTATAGAACTTAGTGAGGACCTCAGCAGCATAAAAAATACCCAGTCAGAAATGAAGGATTCACTAACTGAAATAAAGAACAATTAGCAAGGAAACAACAGAGTGGATGAAGCTGAGAATTAAATAAATGATTTGGAACATAGAGAAACAAAAAACAACCATGCAGAACAACAAGAAGAAAAAAATCCAAAAACATGAGAATAGTATAAACAGCCTCTGGAACAACTTCAAGCATTCCAACATTAGCATCATAGGGGTGCCAGAAGAAGAAGAAGAGAAAGAGCAAGAAATTGGAACTCCATCTGAAAAAAAGAGTGAAAGAAAACTTCCTTAATTTGGTGAAGGAAATAGACATGCAATTCCAGGAAGCACAGGAAGTCCCACTTATGATGGATGCAAAGAGGCTCACTCCAAGACACATCATAATTAAAAGGCCAAAGGTTAAAGATAAAGAGAAACTCTTAAAAGCATCAAGAGAAAAGAAGTTAGTTACCAGATGGTTGCCAGATGGAAGGAGGGTGGGGGGAATGGGTGAAAAGGTGAGGGGATTAAGAAGTGCAAATAGGTCGTTACAGAATAGCCATGGGGATGTAAAGTACAGTATAGGAAATGGAGTAGCCAAAGAACTTACACACATGACCCATAGGCATGAACGATGGTGGGGGGAATTGCCTGAGGAAATAGGGGGCATTGGGTGGAGGGGAACAAAGGGGAAAAACCAGGACAACTGTAATGGCATAATCAATAAAATATAATTTTTTTAAAAAAGAGTGAAATCTTGCTATTTGCAATGACATACATCGACCTAGAGGGTATTATGCTGCATGAAGTAAGTCAGACAAAGACAAATACCATATGATTTCACTTACATGTGGACTCTGAAATACAAAATAAACAAACAAAATGGAAATGAACTCAGACACAGAGAACAAACTGGTGGCTCTCACATGGGAGGGGGTGCGGCGTGAGTGCACAAGGGGCAGGGACTAAGAGGTCCCAATTGCCAGCCATTAAAAACAGTCAGAGGGATGTAAAGTATAGCACAGGGGGTGCAGCCAACGATACTGCTAACACTTACGTGTGACATCAGACAGGTACTAGATTTATTCGTGTGACCACTTAGTAAGTTGTGCAAGGTCTAATCAGTGTATTGTACACCTGAAACTAATGTAACATTGTATGTCAGCTGTAATTGGAAAGTAAAAAATTATTCTAAAAAAGAAGTGTCAGCTCTTCTGAAGCTAAGTCCTTCCTATAAACTCACCTGCACTTGGACATCTCTGACGAATTAGCCTTTCCCAGCATATTGCTGTCCTTCGTTTTGTCTCTGGACATGGGGTCCCTAGCCTGCACTTGCAGAATTTTGTAGTTATTTTGCTAAGTAACCTATGACAAATGATATCATAACAATAACGACCACTCAATGTATCGAGTGCCAGGCAATGCTCTAAGTGTTTTGTATACATGTATATTATCTTATTCTACCTTTTCAATTCTAACCTCTTTGTGTCCCGGCTTCTCTCTCTTGACACTTCAAACAGAACCACATTCTTGTTTCCCTGATTTTTCTCTTCCCTGTTATCATGAGTTTCTCTAGTGGCTACTTCAAAGGACTGAGGAGCTGCATGGGCAGTTCCAAATTCCACTCAACTTCCTAGTACAGTCCTTTCCTAGTCCTCAGAGAAAAGAGGGAAAGGGCTAAATTGGGGGAGGGGAGCACGTGTGTGTGTGTGTGTGTGTGTGCATACACGCATGTGTATAGGGAGAAGAATCAGTTTTAATTCACTTTTTTCTCCCGGTGGAAAAAATCCAGGGAGGCGGGATGAAAAGCGGGCAGTGCTAATAATGCCTCCTGCTATCGCCATCTGGTGGACAAAAGGAGGAAGTCAGGCTTTGGAGATGGACAAGATGAAATTAGGGCAATGGAACATTAAACGCCAGTCAGAGAAAGGCACCCTCCACCTTGAAGAATCACTGTTTTGGCCAGTTATTCTCCCTGGTGTGAGAAAATGAATAAACAAGCAGGTGGAAGGAATGCAGAACTATACAAAATAGAAGCCACGGTGCTAATAATTTATCCATCAAAACTACATAAATGAGTGCCTTAGGTCCTGGCAGAGATTTGACCCTGGGTTTGCTTGGTGCCTCTATGTCAGCATGAGCACTTGGGTGGGTGAGTGGGTGGGTGGGTGGGAGTCAGTGAGCCGAGGGGCTGTGGAGAGGGAGAGTGGGTCCATGGGGAGAGGAGGAGTCTAGCAGGCTTTTGGCCACAGGTAGAAGAGGACTTTTTCTAACAATAGGGTGATACAATGGGAGAGCTGGAAGAGAGCTTAGAAGTCTTCTAATTCAACCTTCATTTTTAAGGTGAAACTGAGTCAGAAAATGTAAATAACTTTCCCAAAGTCATACAGCTACTCATTCACTCTCTCTTTTTAAGTTCTCAACCTGCTTTCTTCATAAGCAGGTCCCAGGGAAATCCAACAGGCTCAAAACAGGCTCATGAGACAGGTTAGTTCCATGATGTTCTTCAGTTAGAGGGGCGAGACTCCCCAGCGGGGGTCCGGTCTGCACCCCTCCTCCCCTCTGTCGTCCCTACCTTTCACCAGTGGGAAGAAGCAGTCCATCTCCACGCTGCTTCGGGAATGGGAGATGCACAGGGCACTGCTGGGGACCAGGCCCTCCTGTGGGGGACTCCGCTCCGTTGTGCGCACCAGACACCAGCCCGGCCGCTCACTCGGCCGCTCCAGCAGCTCCACCGTCTGTCCCACCTGGATGGTCAGCTCACTGCTGTGGCCAGCGTTGAAGTCCTGGAGGACCACGGTCAACTCACATCCACCAGAGAGCTTGGAGGTGATGGTGGGATGGGGGTAAAATGTGAGGGCATGGCGGAAGGAGATGGGTGGGTGGGGGAGAGGGAAGGCAAGAAAGGATGCACGAAAGCAGAGAAGAGGATGGAGGGGGGGAAGGAAAGAGGGAAGAGATGGGACTCAGGAAAGAAGGGAGAAGATGGAAAAGGGAGTTGGGAACAGGAAAAAAAAACAAGGAAAGAAAACTGATTAATGGTGCCAACAAGTCACTCAGCCATTCTAACTGCAGCAACAGTCTGGAGTTGGCCCAGAGACCAGGGCTTTGATTCTAATTCCTTCTGTGGTTGGAGTTCTTTTCATTATTTCCTTGCCAGGCTTCCAGCCAATTGCGTCTTTAAACCCTTCCCCAGTATGTCCCTTCACTTCATCCCTGGGCTGCATTCTGGGCCCATGTCTGCCCCACAACCACCCTCGGATTCTTCCTGAGCATCTGTGTCTATGCCACTCGCTCTCACTTGATTCTAGTCAATGTTTGGGAATAATGGAAGAGAAACTTGCCTTTCTTGTAACACTGGCTACCTTCCCCCTCCTCACCCCGCACTGGAGCTGTTAGCATGAAACAGGCTGCCACGCCCCGGCCAGGTGGCTCAGTTGGTTAGAGTGTTGTCCCTATATGCCAAAGGTTTTGGGTTCAATCCCAGCTCAGGGCACATACAAGAAAAAAACCAATGAAGGCATAAATACGTGGGAAAACAATTTGATGCTTTTCTTTCTCCTCCATTCTCCTCTGTTTCTCTAAAATCAATAAATAAAACATTAAAACAAAACAAAACAGGCTGCCAGTGACACAAAGAAGAATGAGGCTCCATTTCAAAGGCGCAAGCTGAACTCTGTCTACCTGGAAGGGGAACAGAGTTGTTTGACATGAGCTCAGCCACCAGGGACCAAGGCGTCGGACAGTGGGGAGAGGGGTCACATCGTACTTTGGGACTACCATTGGTGCTCCATCCTGTCCTCCCTCCAGGCCAGCCTCTCCCACTGCACTGAGCCTAGGGCAGAACCAGTAACCTGGAGAGAGGAACAACCTCTACTAACTAAACACTGAGACTTCCATTTTCCCCATGAAAACCCACTAGTTATTACTTCATCTCATAGAGCTAAGCACAAAGCCTCCCTCTTGGAACAGCAGTTGCTCTTAGGGGCAGAGGGAGCAGGAGGGCAGGGGAGGAATGAGAAGCCGAGGGGCCCAGCTCAGTAGCCTGTTCTCTAAGGTTCAAGGGGAAGCCTCCTGAACCACCTCCCGGGACCTCGCCTTCAGTCTGCGCATCCCTGATCCAAACCTTCGGGGCCTGCGCTACCTGCGTTGGCAGCTGTTCTAACGCACGAGTCCAGAGAGTCCAGATACGTCATGTAGCTATGTCACACACTCAGGGAAGCTTCTACAGAATGGTGAACTCCGAACATCACAGTGAGTTAGGAATCAACAGCCCCACCAGTACCGAGGGCTCTGCACTGAGACCTGTGAGCATTTTCTACCAAGGGAACTTGAATGTCACATGGGCCTGAGAAGGTTAACGTGATGCATCAGACTGGTGGTTGCAGTACGCATCACCACCAGTCACAGAGCAGGGAGTCCGCTCCACACACATTCCCATGGTGGGACGGTGCTGCTGCTGGGATTAGATCAGGAAGGAACATCTGTAGGGCAGGAGGTGAGAGATGGAAAAAGACAATAGAAGAAAAAACATGCCTGTTGGCTCATTTTCCCCCCTTTTAGCTTTCCCGGTCCCATTAAATGCACAGCCCGCACTGCCCCACTCTCCTGATGCTCCTTTCCCTAAAGTGTCATTTAGACACTTGTGGGATGGGAATGCCTCAGGTCTGCAGTGCTCTCACAGTGTCCAAAGTACCTTCGCATTAGTTACCTACTGGATCCTCACAAGAACTAGGTGATATTACTATTTCTCATATGTCAAGAAATTTAAGCTCAGAAATGTCCAGCTCCGTGGTTGGAACATTAAGTGTGCATAAAGATCACCTGGGAGCTTATTAAATCCCTCCCTTGCCCCAGCTCCCTGATTCAGGAGGCCTGGTTAGGGCTCCAAATGCATATTTTTAAAAAGATTTCTTTTTAGAGAAAGGGGAAGGGAAGATGAAAACGAGGCAGAGAAACATGGATGTCACAGAGAAACACCAGCTGGTTGCTTTTTCTTGTACACTCCCCGACTGCAGACCGAACCCACAGCCCAGGCATGTGCCCTGGCCAGGACCCGAACCGGCAACCTTCCACTTTGCGGGATGACACCCAAACAACTAAGCCATACCAGTTAGGGCCCAAAACGCATATTTTTTAACAAGAACCCTAACTCATGATTCTGAAAAGGGGGTTTTGTCTGGGATATTGTCTGAGAAACATTGGCTGGATGGTTTCCCATAGTCACCCAGCTGGACTTGAACTCAGACCTCAACTGCAAATCCCACAGTCCTTAAAGCACACACCAGGGCAAGTTACACAACTGTTTGTAGGTATGCTTGTGGTTGGAAGGGTGCGAAGCAGAGGAGAGAAGAAGGCATCAGTGGCCTGAGCTACTGTCCTCTCAGGGTTTGCTTGGCCTACATTAGGTCTCTCAAACTTTTTGGACTGCAATCCTCTGTAAGAAATACTTTTTATATCTTGACGAGTTTGCACTATGTATGAATAGTAATATCACTGAAACACAAGTTTCTCTCTGATACTTTTTTTTGGTCTCAATTTTCTGGTGGCATCCCACAAAATTGATTCCACTTGCCACAAATAGACTATTTGTAGAACACTGGCCTAGATGGCCATGAACGTTCCTTCTGAGAATTTCTGTCACTGAGCTTGTAAGCCTCAGTGCAGTTGTTCCTTTGTGCCAGCTCATGTGCTCAGGGTTCTTTCTTGGGGTAAAGTGTGCACATGACCTGAGATGCAACTTGCAGCCCCTTTGCAGACTGCTGAGGCAGAGCACAGAGACTCTGGCTACAAACAGCCCGGCGAGTCACCCAGATACAAGGCCCACTGTCCCCTAGGTCAAATTACAGCCAGACTGACTGGCAGGTTGGCGTCTGGAGTAAGGGCTAGGGGAGGATAAACAGCCAGGCTGTGTGCTTCTACCATTCAATGATCCCGTTCCTGAGAGAAGCCTGGAAACACCACTAGGTGGTAGAGTTTGCCTCCTATAGTCTCCTCAGTCCAGATAATGAAGAAGGAAGTGGAGAAAAGAAAGGTGGTTAATGGGTGATGTCTCTGTGTTCAAGATTTAGACCTAGCAAAAACCATTATGCTAGATGAATGATGAATGTCTGGTTCGCCTCACCTCAGTGAGTGATCACAGAGATTTACTACACCAGGTCCCCAGCCCAGGGCAAAAAGGGAATTCCCAAGCGGGGCAGCTGAGGGGTTTAAGAGATATGCGTTGGTGGTCAGGCAGGGCTGGCCCTGACACAGTCCCTCTTCCTTTCTCCCCAGAGCAACAAGGAAGCCTAAGGGTGCCCAGGAAACTCAGGGTTCACACTTAGAAGAACATACAACTGGAATCAGCACTGGAAAGTTCTAAGAGCTCCTGTCAGTGCGGGAGGGGTCAAAGACAGAGGGGCCAAAGACCTCTGAGGAGTCTTGGCACACTTAAAAGACCTTTACTTGCAGTCCTTAAGTGCAGTTCATTCATGGTTCATGCCTGAAGCCTTCTCCTGAGTCACACTACCTACTGAACGACAGAGTGCTCCCCTCATTAATCCACCAAAACCACATTCCTGCACAAATACGGAATTATTGGTTTCTTAGAAACATGTGCATGTTTTCTCATCTGACCAGTCTGGCGTGTGGCAGCTGGTCTCCTGTCCATTAGAGCCCAGAGCCATTATTTCCTCTTTCCCTTCTTTCCATTTCGAAAGGACCAGTGACCATGCCCCCACTCTTACTTCCTTCCCCTTCACCACACTTCAGTCCTCGGCAGTGGCGAGCTCAGGAAGCCCCCACTTCTCCCCCTGAACCGAATCTCTGTTCCCAGGAATTTAAATAGGGTTTACCTGACAATCTGTTGTGGAAAACTGCAAGCCACATCTGTATTTTGTCTGACTTCTTTTCTTCCTCACAGCCTTTTAAGAACGGTCGTAATGTCCTCTTTAGATTTCTATTTTATATTTCTCGACATATTTGTTTTCTAATTTTCCCTGTTAGGCCCACATAGCATTTTCCATGTTTGGCTTTCTTTTCCTTTTCCTTTTTTTTTTTTTTAAGATGTCATTTATTTATTTTTAGAGAGAGGGGAAGGGAGGGGAGAAAAACATCGATGTGAGAGAGAAACATTGATCAGTTGCCCCGTGCACACCCCCACCTGGGGACCTGGCCTGCAACTCAGGCATGTACCCTGACCGGGAATTGAACCTGCGACCTTTGGTTTGCAGATCGGCACTCAATCCACTGAGCCACACCAGCCAGGGCTGGCTTTCTTTTCAATACCTTGTTAGAGAGACCCCTTTATGTTTTCTAATTTTCCTTTTGGCTGAGCCTTCCTTCCCACAAGTCTCCCCACATGGGCTGGTGCTGCCTCTCACTTGTTTCCTGCTTGACTTACTAATCGTGGAGACGCAGACGCGGAAAAGCTGGAAAACCACTGTTACTCATCGTCCTCACCTCCCGACTGGGCTGACTGGTCAGCCCCTTGATCTCTCCCTGGGAAGAGCCTTTCACAGTGGAGGCAGCACAGAGGTCCCTCTGTCTTCTCTCTATCGATCTATCTATCCATCCCACATTCCGGCTTGTTCTAAATTGGCTTTATCTTTAACTGTCAATTCCTTGAACATTTACTTCCTCCTGAGTATGCCAAGCCTCCCCACTAACCACTCTTCCCTCTTACCTCTCTGATGCATCTTTCCTCCTTCCCCCTTCCCCATTCTCCCATTTCATGCTCTAAACTTGGATTACTTTAAGAACCTCCTCCATGTCCCCAGCCCCCTCTTCTCCTCCCTTTAACCACCTGCTCTTCCTCCTGTCGCAGGTGGTCTGACCACAG